TATAGTTTTACATTTGGAATGAAGAAGAGACAACAACTCCCCTTCTTCCCCAAATAAAACAAAGCTAATGCAGACCTGTTTTATGCACACAAATATTGTGAGATGTGAGCAAATGAAAAGTAATCTTGTATAACAAAATACATTTCTAGTTCCATAACTAAGTGCTATTATTTACCGAGAATTCCAGTGTAGGAAGATCCTGGTTAAAATAGAGAAATATATAAAATTCTAGCAATAAGTAAGCATGATTATTTAGTTCATTTCAAAAGGTCTCTTGGTCCATCTGCCAGACACTCCCACCTCTGGGTGTTCAGGAAGCGTGAGCAGTTCTTCTGAAGAGCTAGGTGGATGGCAACTGTGTTGTCAAAGTCCGTCTTGATGGCTTCCACTTTTACTGCAACAGCAAAACCCCGAAGCATTTCACCCACAGTTCCTTTCAAATGGATCCAAATCACAGTCTCCTCTTTGTTAGCAAAACATCTTCATCACACCTTTCCTTTTCCTTTTTGTAACTCCATGGTACATCAGGAAAAGGTGGTTGAATAGGTCTTCACACTTTCTTTTCCATATTTATTAAAGAATTAGTTCATCTTCTGTGAGTCCCACTGTCCCTATAGGAGGGTGACTGAAGACCGTAGAGGGGATATTGTCATAGTCTAATTTAGAATCTTGTTTGCACTCAAAAAGTCTGTGGGTTTATTGTAAGAACAGAAGGATAACTAGTAAGAACGATGTGTCTGGATATCTAAAGAAGGAAGAAAAAGGGTGAGGAGGGCTGAGAGTGGGGAGGTGGAAAATCAAGGGTTGGCAGAGTTTGGTGGGCCGAGGGTGGGGGTAACATAACTACAAAAGATCCAGTGGGGATCTGAGGAGGTGGGGTATAGTAGTGATTCATTTTATAAGACACAATATATGGATATGATCATATAAAACAAAATGTGAATGGAAAAAAACCCTAAAAAAGAATTTTTTTTTAAAGTTAAAAAAAAGTCTGGGCAAGTTTTCTGCCAGCAGCCATTGCACCTATAAGAGTTTTTCCACACACATCCCCAACAGCATAGATCCCTCTGATGCTGGTCTCCTGGAATTCATCTACTATATGATATGATCTTAGTCATCAGTTTGAATTCCCAGTGAGCTTAAATTAAGGCCCCTGGAATTTGGGTGTCATCCACAATGTCTGGGATTGTGGTAACCAGTCCAGGAACTGAAGTAATCATGCTGAGTTCCAAGCCTGATAAGGTCTTTTAACTACTTTGACCTGGGAGTACTTGAGGACCTCAAAGCCCACATTCTCCAGCTTTTATTTTTTTTTTAAATTTTATTATTGTGTGTGTATGTGTACCATCAATTTGGATCTGACTGGTACAGGAGGAGACTGTCCTTCCTTTTCCAGCAGAGCATCTGGTGTATTCGAACTGCGTGCCTCTGGAATTGCCGTGCAGCTTCTTGCCACTAGGCCACCAGAGCTCCCTATTCTCCAGCTTTTCAGTGCAGCAGTTATTATGTGCCATCAAGTTACCTGTGATTCATAGTGACCTTATGTACATTAGCTCTGAACCCTGCTCTATCCTGAGCTAATTTCATCATCTCTGACACACCTAATCCTATTTCTCCAGTCACTGAGTCAACCCATCTCATTCTGGGTCTTCCTCTCCTGTGCTGTCCCTCCACTATTCCAAGCATGATGTCTATCTTTTAAGGATTGGTTTCTCCTGGCCACATGCCCAAAGTATGTGAGGTCCTTTTCCAATTTTAAACCATGCATTGTTGCCTTGTTCTGTTCAGACAATGGCTTCTTAGTCTAAGTATAGGTTAGGTTTCACATGAGCACAATTAAGCATTCTGGGATTTCCATTCTCAGTGTTAGCTATAATGTGATATGATCCACACAATCAAATATCTTTTGGTGAGCATGTCCAGGGTTCTATTTCCTGATACACCTCAGTTGGTATCTTATCAATTGCTGGGACCTTACTCTTTTGCCAATTCCGTCAGTACTGCATGGTCTTCTTCCTACAGTACTCTTCCTCATGTGATTCTTCCTGAATTTGTTCAGTGTTGACCAATTCTTTTTGGTACAGTAACTGTTTTTCTTCGCACCTTCTTTTCATATTTCCTGGATCAGTCAAGATTTTGCACATAGAATAATATTGCAACCTAAGGCCTGAATTTTCTTTATAGTAATACACACACACACACATGTAAATAAAAATGTTTAATACTGAAAATTCACTGCTTTAGAGTTCAGGCTCACAGTGACCCTATAGAACAGAGAATAACCACATCACAACATTTCCAAGGCTGTAAGTATTTACAGAAGCATCTTTCCTTCTCAGAGCTGCTAGTGGTTTCAAATTCTCAACCTTTCAGTTAATAGCTAGTTTCTTTAACAACTGCGCTATCAGGAGTCCTGCAGTATGTTGTTGTTATGTGCTATCAAGTCTCCTGCAACTCATAGCGACCCTATGTACGACAGCTCTGAACCCTACTCTATCCTGAGCCAACTTAATTGTCTCTGACACACCTACTCCCATTACTCCAGTCACTGAGTCAATCCATCTAATCCAAGGTCTTCGTCTTTTGAACTGTCCCTCCACCCTCCCATGCATGATGTCCCTTTCCAAAGACTCCCTCCTTGCAACATGTCCAAAGTATGTCAGATGAAGCTTTAGAATCCTTGCTTCCAAGGAGCAACCTGGTTTCACCCTGTCCAGGATGAACTTGTCTGTTTTCCTAGCAGTCCATGATATATTCAATACTCTTCTCCAACACCACAGCTCAAAGGCATCATCCATAGTCATTGCCCAGTTTTCTGATGCACGGTGAGTAATTGCAAAGACTACAGCCTGGATCAGGCACACCTTAGTCTCTAGACTGATATACATACTTATATTAGATTAGGGAGCTCTGCGATAAGGAGTTGCACTGGCAACGCAAAGGTATGCGGTTCCAGTCCACTCACTGCTTCATGGGAGAAAGATGGGCAGTCTCTTCATGTGTGGTTGTTTTTGGAAACCTGCTGGAAGGTCAGCTATGGGTTGATTCTGACTTGACAGTACACAGCAACAACATTAATTAATATTCTGTCTCTTGCCATTAGAATAAGAACTTCCTAAGAACATACACTGTTCCTCTGGTCCCCACCCCAGACCCACTTCAGGATCCTCAGGGCATAGATTCCACAGGGATAGTGAAAGCTGTGACCAGTGTAAGCTGGAAACCTGTCAGAGAAGAAAAATGGATATATTTTCCACCAAAGGGAGCAATAAACGTTAGATTGCACCCTGTCACAGTCAGGAAATTTGCAAGACCCAGGAAAACTAGTTCCATGGAGTTCTACCCATGACAAGCATCCCTGTAACATGCATTCAGCAAATACATGGCAATGAACTTAACTTACAGTTGCATTTCAAAATTTTGTCTTCTAAGGTTGGAGGAAGGGACAATCTATTAACCCGATGACTCCAAATGGCAAAAGCTGAGTTTGACTCTATTCTGTTGGAAATTTTTCAGCCACAAGTGTATCATGAGTGATGAGTTGATTCTCCAACAGAAGCAGCGTTGGAGAAGCAAGGCCAAGAAGTGGAGAAGTAACAGCGCCAAGGTTGCAGGTGGAAGCAGGTTAATAGTGCCTTGCAGATGTCCTAAGCCACCTCTGTTTGCCCTAAGCCGTCTTCTGTTTACCCATCTAACTAAGCTTTAGAGGTGAGGGATCTTTTTGGTCTCAGAAATCCCAGTGGCTTAGAATGGAAAAAAGACCTTTCTTAAGTATAGGAGTAAGGGCTTTGTAATTAGCAGACCTTAGTTTATTAGGAACCATTTACTCACTTTATTACCTTTGAAAAGTCATTTAATCTAATTTATACACACACAAAAAAATAACAACCCATGGTCAGTGAGTTGAATCCCTTCATAATTTCTGAGGAAGTAAATGTTTTTGGGAGGAGACTCCATCTACCTCCCAAGAAGCAGCTAGTAGATTCAAACCACAGACGTTCTGGATAAGAGCTTGACAAACTATATACTATGCTACCAGAGCTTCTTAGAGGTGGTGTTTAAGCAATAACTTATCTAAAGCCTTGAGTATGTGAGTTCAATAACTAATGGTGATTACTAGTCCTGTTAGCGTCCATTGGCCTGTGATAAAGAAATGTTCATGGTTATTGTGACTATGTTATTGCTCATTATTGTGTAGTCAGAGTCAACTCTTGGCGTACCCACAGAACTGGCTCCTAGGACTTTCCAGTGGGTTTTCAGAGGCTGTAAACAGCACAGGATAATTACCCATTTTTCTCCTTTTGAATAGCTGATGGATTAGAACTGCTGTCTTTGGGGCAGAATAACTCCCTACTCACTAAGCCATCAGAACTCCTTATGTGAATATACTTTCCTTACATGCTAAACAAATATTGTTATCAGAAATGGTTATAGGATTAATCTTTTAAGCCATTTAGATAAAAGCTAACACTCAAGCAAATACCAAGGGAAAAAAGTCTGACAAGCTCTCCCTCTCTGTCTCTAAGTATCTCCGGGTGGGGCTGGGAGTGAAACAAGGTTTAGAGGGGAAAACTGTGAGTTTTGCCTAGAAATCCAGAATTGAAACTGATCTTAATACTAAAATTGTGACTAAAACCTGTTACCACCTTTATCCACCTTCCGTCTACAGCAATATACAGATTTTTAACACTTTTAAGATTATTTCAAGCAAAAGACACACATTTTTCCCCCAAAAAAAACTTTACAGGTAGCTTTATTCTCTCCTACTTTTATTAAGCAAATGAATCAACAACTAAGCAATGTTTTTCCTTAAAAATTACAACAACAAGATGGTTTCTCTTCATAATGACACTTATCTTTGAACGCAGAGGAAAAAAGGTGGGGGACCTAGAGAAAGAAAAAGCAAAAGTCTTGTACAGGAATGACACAAACAGATGGCGTTATTAGAGCAAGAAATGAAACACTGCATTTTAAAGTAAGACCAGTCGCACACATCCAGGTCAGGGGATCTTAATATAAGCCTTGCCCACCTCTCTCAGCCCATCACTCTTACTCAGACAGTTTCCAATCAGCTCTCTAACAGAGATGCACTCTTGTGTTTCCAGGACAAATCGTGCCACGGCCTTCCCTCCTGGCAGCCTGTTCCTTACCACCTCACTCTTGACACTGTCCAGGGCAACTCCTCGGATGTCTGTAGGTTCTCCTGGCACACCAAAGACGAGAAAGAGGCCCAGACAATCCTTTCCTATCAAGTTACAGAATTCAATCAGTTTATCAAATCGACTCCTCTTCTTGAAAAACTCCTCTACTCTCAGTTCTGGATGGGCAGGGTCATAAGGCTTGGATTCCACAGGTGGAAAAGAAGATATCCGCAGAGTCTGCACCGCCAGCTGAAGCTTTATTTGTTTCTCGGAGTCCCAGAAGGTCCAAATCCAGTCTGCCCCAAACAGGGAGGCTTGGTGTTTCGTCATCTTGGTAGTGGTAATCCATTCGTCAATTCCCTTTCCTTTGCAGAAAGTAATGAAGTGGATTAAGAAGATTTCATTCAGAGTGTTTGGAGCTGGGCAGAGTTTACTCAGAGTGTCTTCAAATGCAAGGTACTCCTCCAGCTTCTGAGCGGCGTACACGATAGCCCCACTGAATGCCGTGGGCATGCTGAGAACCTCCTGGCTGTCCTCCAGGGTCAATGGCTGGGATGTTTTCTGCCCCATTTTCTCTGCACTCAATCAGTATTTCTCCCAAACATGTGAAACTCGTTCTCCAACAGTGTTAACGTCTATCAGGATGGTCACAGTGATCCAACTCTAAACCTTATTTGGTGTAGCAAAGTATATATACTTATAGCTAAAACAAACACTATAGGCCTCCCTTTTTGTCAACTGGGTGCGTTCTGGTCATACACATTCTTACTGGTTTATTAGGTTAGGGATACTAACTTTCACACAAAACATCTGTTCCTCTCTAGGTCATAATCATCCTATTTTTATACGGGTAATTCCTAATTTGTAACTACAGACTGCACTTAAAATCATCAGGTTTTTTATGATTTGTGTAATGTATGTTTATAGGAATGAAAATGACTACACCAACGGGTTTCAGCATGATGGAGATTAGGAGGATTGTGCAGGATAGGGCATGATTTCGACTTCTTGTTCAGAGGGCCACTGAGAGAACCTGCTCGATGGCACCTAACAACATGTATGAAAATTTATTTGTAAGTTCACATGCAGTGCTTTCAGCTCCCAAAGGCAAAGATTAAATTTAGAAAGATACTTTTCTTTCTTTTTTTTTTTAGAGTTATAACCGAATCTTTAAGTCTCATGTGCCAACTTAGCGTTTTCCACCAGCTCGGGGAGCAGAAACTTTCAGAGGCTTCACAATTTTTTGTTTAGGTGCTGCTTTTGTGGGGGCCTTAGTAGCAGCCATTGCAGTCTTTTTAGATGCTTGTTGAGCCTTTTTTTTGCTTCCTTGGCAGCCCTGATAGCCTATTCTCATTGAGTCTTTCTAACTTCAGGCTTTTGATTTCTCTTGGCCATTATACCAGCAAGAGATGCACCAGTGATGGCCCTTTGGAATTTGGCTGCACGGCAGATTCTTTTATTTTTAATTTCTTCCGACTGGCCCTTTTTGTGCTTCCTTCTGTAGAGGACAGTCCAATTTACCTGCCTTGGGTTCCTTTAGGAAAGGAAAGCTGACTCACATTTTGCATTAAGAAACTGGAACACCTTCCCGTCGGTCCTGGTGTAGCGCCTCCCGTGCCCGGGGGGAGATTTTGTACCCGCTGAAACTGCACAGCTCGATCTTCATGGCTGCAGCTTCGGGGGAAACAGGTAGAAAGATACTTTCTTTTTTTTTTTAAATTATTATTTTTTTGTGTGCGTGTACCGTCAAATCAGATCTGACTGGTACAGGAGGAGATTGTCCCTCCTTCCCCGGCAGAGCATCTGGTGGGTTCAAACCGTGTGCCTCTGGGATTGTAGTTGCAGTTCCTTGCCACTAGGCCACCAGAGCTCCCCTAGAAAGATACTTTTAATAGAATAATAATGAATTGTTGTTGTTATGTACCATAGAGTTGAAACCCACCCATAGCTGACCCTACGGCTGGTTTTCAGAGGCAGTTAATTGCAGGGGAGGAGACTGCCCATCCTTCTCCTGAAGAGCAGCTGGTGGCCTCGAACTGTGTGCCTTTGAGACTGAAGCACTGCTTCTTGCCACTAGGCCAATAATGAATACTATTCTTTAAAAAACAATAAAAAGTGATAGTCAATTTACCTCAGAATTGACTTAATAGATGTAGAACCTAAATTCCATCATAAGTTGGGGACTACCTAAACTTGGTAATATTTTTTAAGAGATTTCTTGTTTCCAAATGTCATTTGAAAATATATATTTTTTTTAAAAAATATATTCATTTGCTTACAGAGTTATTATGCATTGTGTTTCACACTATGTAGTTCTTGAAAAAACTCATATACTTCTTTCTAAACCACATTCTTCAAACTTGAAGGTGAGTCATTTCCATTTGGTTTCCTATGTCCCCCATCTGGACATGACCCATCATTCTTTTCAGCTCAGCTGCCTGTGTCCTTTCAGACAAAACTTTCTCAAAAGGCCTCAAATTCCATCAACCAATGACTGGATTGAGAAACTGTGGTACATTCTCAAGGGAGGGAATATTATGCAGCACTCAGGAGCAATGATTTTGAAAAATATATAACATGGGAAAAGCTAGAAAGCACTATGCTGAGTGAACTAACTCAGGCGCATAAGGACAAATATAAGACCATTATTGTGAAAACGGAAGGATTACCAGTAAGACATATGAACATCCAAGGAGGGAAGGTGAGGGACGAGAGGAGAGCAACAGGCTGAGAGGGAGGGGGCTGAGAGGGAAATCACGGGGTCGCAGAGTTTGGTGGGTGGATAGAGGGACAACGAAAAACCCCAAAAGCCCAAAACCAATGTACATGAATGAAACACAATATAAATAAATTATTAAATGCATACCAATAAAAGTCTCAAATTTCTGTCTGTTCATATATACTATGTACTTGATTCAAACAAACTTACAAGTATTTATGACTTGTAAAGAATTAGTGTTAATTGTTCTATCAGAAACAATAGCTGGCAGTTACTCTGACCAAAGGAAAATGAAGCAACAGACAATAATAATATGAGGTAATTTTTCAATTGACTTTATTTCCTTTCATATGATAATACCAACAATGTTTAATATTTTGTAAATAAAATATATCATCAAAACTTTTTAATGTTATCACATATCATCATTATGCTACATTGTTTTGAATAAAGAATATTTGGCATCTATATGAGTCTCCTGATATTTGCAACCAGGTTCTAATTTTTTAAAAAATGAGCTTCTGAAATAGTGACATATATTCACATTCAAATAAAACTAAAATACAAACCACAAAACTGTTCAAAAATTTTCTGAGGTGTCACCAAAGAAGGGGTATTTCATATATACCAATTTAGCCTGAATGATCAATGTTGTTAAAATTCAATGTGGAGGGGAAAGAAATGAGCCTTTTGACCTCTCCAGGAAACAGCTGGTATAAGGGAAAAATGTGAACACTGTATTTGTCTTTTAAATGTGATCTTTTCACTGTCTTCCTTATGTCACAAAATAAAAGTTCTATTTTCCATGTTCTGTATATATACACATATTTAAAAAAATATATAAAAATAACACAATAAGAGGCATATGGAGGTGTGGCTGGTATTTGGTGGGCACATGGGCACACTGAATGCTTACGGAAATTCCACATACTGGTTTTGAGAGCTTACACATAATGACACCTTAGATGGCTGCTGTGAATACTGACGGGACAAAATGACCTACTGGGTGGTGCTCCCCAGTCCTTCCCTGCTGTGAACGTGAGTACTGTGTGAGCGCTATGGTAAAATAGTCATCTCATATGTAACACTTTAAATACATCACAGATTTTTACATTAAATAGAGGAAAAAACCCAATAATACTCTCATCATTTACCAGTGTCTTGTTTTTCATGGCAACTTTAGAATAGGCAGGCTCTCCATTCCACTTCTAGAGGAGAAGCTGGAATTATAAACAATCAGTTACTTGTATACATTGTGAGCGGTGGAGAAATACTACAGGAAGAGGACTAAAGACTCCCGCGCCCATCAGGTGCTGTGGTCAAACGTTGGAGTCTTCGTCCGTAATGCTGGTACTGGGGGAGCGGGCAGCAAAATCTTTAAACATGTCATCTTCCTTTAACATGTGCTGGAAAACAAGGAGACGGGGAGTCAGCAACACACACCATGAGCCAAGAACGGCACAATTTTGAACACATTTCTTCAGGGCTTATTTTAGAATACACTGTCTTAGTTATGTAGTGCTGCTGTAACAGAAATATCACAAGTGGATGATGGCTTTCACAGAGTTTTATTTCTCTCAGGAGAATTTAGTGTGCTAACTCTAGAAGCAGACTCTCTCTGTCAGCTGTGGGGGAAGATCCTCATCTCATTTCAACATCTAGTGAATCACCTAGTGGCCCTTGGTGATTTCTTTGTGTCTTGCTATCAATCTTGTCCTGGTTCTAGGAGGTTCTTGGTCTAATAGAGCTACACTCTTGGGTCTTCTCAGAGAGTGGCAATCAGATCCCTCCTCTCTGCTTACTTGTCTCTTGTAAGATAAAAAGAGATGCATGCCATATCAAAAGGAATCTCCCCTTCTTCCATCAGATCAGGGCTATGATCTGAGGGGGGGGGTGTTGTTATCTGCCACTGAATTGACTACAACTCACACAGATCCTATGAACAATAACTCTGAACTCTGCCCTATCTTGAGCCAATCTCACTGTCTCTGACACACCTGCCCCATTGCCACAGTCACTGTGGCAATCCTTCTCATCCAGGGTCGTCTTGTGTCTTCAGCTCTAGGCAGTGGATCTGGCCCATTCCTCCACTCTGATGAATAGGAAGTGCCACTCTCCTGAAGTGACTTGGTGAAGATCTGACTCTTTGAAACCGTTGATGCTGTAGCACCACCCTTTGAAATCCCAGGTCATGACTTCCCACTGCCCCCCTTTGCGAACCCAGTGATCATGGCTCTACTCTTTGAAACCGAGGCAGCTCAGCTTCCTGTGTGCTTTTGATCTACTTACTTTTGCTTCCTAATTCCTTGGCCTCTCAGATCTTCAGCCCTTTAGACATGTTGAGCTAGCTTGGCCTCTGCCCAGCTCACTCAAGTGTTGCAAAGCTCTTTCATCCTAATGGTAAGTGTTTGGAGGCACCCAGTGCCACCAGGATGCTTAGGCTCAAACACTCTATAGGTCTGCATGCATCTTACTTCAGTAATATGCCTAGGCTCCAAGGCGATTTGCTTGCTCTCTGAGAGCCAGCTCTTCTTCTGTCTTGAGCTGGTTTTGCTGCTTCTATCTGTGCCTCTCTTGTATTAGAGGTCTCCTCACTTCCTTCTGAGTCCTCTCCAGAATGATGTTGTTATGTGCCGTCGAGTCGTTTGCGACTCATAGCGACCCTATGTACAACAGCCCTAAACCCTGCTCTATCCTGTGCCAATTGCACTGCCTCTGACACACCCATCCTGATTACCCCAGTCACT